GGGAGCAGCCCACGTGGGCGGGCGGTTGCCCTCTCCCGGGGGACGGGGACGACACATCCCCCAAGTGGTGTGAGCTGTGAGCTGGGCGCCGGCAGCGCCCCCGGAGCCTAAAAATAAACCCGGGGCGGGGAGGGGCGGGTGAGAAACCAAACAGTCTGGAGAGGCTTCACCTCCTTATCTGAGACTCGGAGATTCAAGCGGCTCCTTTATTACCGAGCTGCCCGTGGGGGCGGGGCCGGCCCCATGCCAGGAAGGCTCTGGGGATCGGGAGGCTGATCTCCTGGGTGCATCTGGGAGCTGGATTAATTGCTAACTCAAACACCCCTGGCCCCGAGGGAAAGGTAGATCCTGGCTCGGCTGAGAGGGGCATCAGGTGGACGTGCGGTGTGGTTGTAAACGTGGCATTTGATGTAGCCTCGTCCGGAGTAGATGGTTAAGACTTCAGCCTGCACCCAGGGCCTCTGATTGCTTGGTTTGGGTGAAGATTGAAGTGAGGGTGGGTGGGGAGGTGGAGGGGCCAGGATCACCTCCGGGCAAGGACCCCCAAGTAGCTGCCGGGGCAAGGGCGGGGGGAGTTTGGCTTGGGACAAGGTGAGTGTGAGGGCAGGAAGCCGAGAGGTCGCTGGGGAAAGTGGCTGGGGAGGTGGCGCCCCGTTTCGCTCTAGCCTGTTTACCTCCTGGCTCCGTCCTTGCAGGGTGAATGGGACCGTCAGCCCCTGCCGGAGATCGTCTCCAAGCTGGAAGAGCCCACCCCCCGGTGTCCCGCCAGCCAGGGTCAGAGTCCCGCCGGCCCCACCGTGGTCAGCATCGGCGGGAGCAAAGGTTGAATGGGGGGCCGTCTCCTCGCTCCCTGCTCCATGCCGTCCCCGTGGACTCATGCCAGTGCTGTGCACCCCAACCCTGGAGACCCCCATGAAACAGCTCTGTGTGCCCAGGACGAAGGGCTGGACCATGCCCCTGCCTGAGCCCGCGGTCCAGTCCAGCATCTCCCCCTGCATGGCCGAGGGTCCCGTGAGACCTCCCTGCCGACCCACCAGGACCGGCGAGCCCAGACCCCTGCACAGCTCAGTGGTCTACCATCCGGGCCCATCTCACTAGGAGGGACCGGTTTGGGGACACGAGCCACCCCCGGCTGTGCGGCAGGCTCAGCCCCCTGTTGATGGCGATTTGTGCTGAGGGTGACGGGTGTGGGCGCTACTTAAACATTTCTCTGCAGTGCGGCTCGTTTGTCACCGTGGGCGGCTTCCCTGCCCACAGAGGCAGGACAAGCCATTTAGCTAGTTAGAGACGCGCCTGGGAGATCGCTCAGTGCAGGGTAAATAGATATTTTCACCCACCTAAACGGAAACACTCACATCACTTCTCACCACCGCCGAGGACGGGATGGTGAAGACCTGGGCGGGCCCGGGCGCCCGCTCCTTCGGGAAGCCGCCGGTGGCCCTGGGCCACGCTGCCCTCAGCTGGCCGGCAGGTACTAGCTGGGCTCTGGAACCGGGACGGTGTCCGGAGCCCGGGCCGCCTCTCCGTGCATGTGCGACTCGGGTCAGCCACGGCACCGCCCTGACACTAAGTTTTCTCACCGGTCAAGTGGGGCCCGTGCCGTGCCGGTTACGAGAGCGAAGCTGCCACACGAGACGGCACCCGGGGGTGGTTAATCCAGGGCAGCATTGCCCCGCGGGCACGAGCCTGGCCTGAGTGTCCTCCCCACGCTGGACGGGAACACGCCTCACGCTCCCGCGTCCGGCTTCGCCTCCCTCCCCTCCGAGCTGCCTCCCATTTAAGGCCAAGTTCAGCTCTTTGCTGGTTTCCATGGGGAGTAACAGATTAGGCTGTGTTTAGCCACCTCAGCAAAATGCTGCTCAGTCTCTAGGGGAGAGAGAGGGTGATGGATGGGCCTTCGAGTCCCCCCCGCACCCCACGCACTCCCCCCTCCAGACGTCAGCTAAGTGGCTGCCTCTCTTGAGAACCGCTTCATTACGGACGGAACACACGGGCCGCACGCTCCGCACTGCGCCGTATAAATCACGGCTTCCCCGCACCGTGAGTCACGGGGCGCGTCTGCCGCGAAATGCCAGGCCCCGACAGGCCGCAGAGCTGGCCGCCCTCCATCACCTTTACAGCCTCAGATGACAGGTGGGGGGCGGCCCCTCCCTGCGCGGAGAAGGCTTGGGAGGCGGCCTGGAGCCTGCGCAGCCTCCGGCCTCGGTCTTCGGACGCTGTTCCTCTGGCCGCGGCCGTCTGCCAGCTCGGACAAGGGTCCTGGTCAGCCCAGGGCTCTGCACACCCGCGAGCCTTTGCTGGCCACCATCGTTTTGTCCCCGGACACCTGAGAGGCACTTACTTGTGGCATTGCAGTTTCACCAACGAGGGGATCGAGGTTCACAGAGGTGAAGTGTGACATGGCTCACCTGGGTCCCCTGGAGGATGAGCGGTGATGAGAAATCACACGCCGCTCCGGAACCTTCCCCACCCACAGTGACCACCTCCCCAGCACACGCACACGCACACGCGGACGCGCACGCACACACACGCACGCACACGCGCACGCACATGCACATGCACACGCACACACATGCACACGCACATGCACATGCACACACACACGCACACACACACACGCACACGCGCACACACGCACACGCGCCTCGCTCACGTCCTCACTCTCCGGCTGGTCATTCTCTTCCTCCCGTGGGCGGCCACTGCAGCACCTGCCCCAGATGAGCAAACTCGGTGCTGTGACCGAGCTGCCACCATGCACACCGCTCCGGTGCAAACGCCCCTCGCAAACCCCCCACGTGCGTGACGTTTCTGCTCCCGCTGGCGGGCGGGGAAACTGAGGCTCAGAGCTCGCCAGTTAGATGCCGGGGTCCCCAGAGGGCCCCGAGCTCTGACTACAGGGTCTGGGCTGTCAGCGTCCACTCCCTTACCTAGGAAGCAGGCACTGGCCCTGGCCCTTGTGAGGACTAAGCAAGGACACCTGGGGAAAGGCTTCGTTACCTGAACACAGGTAATGCTTTGGCCAGGCCCCTCCCACGACTCCTTGGGCTTGCCCTTCCGACCGACAGGTGGCGGAAAGAACCAGGGGAGGGTCTGGGCTCCTGAGGGTCTGGGTCCCTGCTCCTCCGTCTGCCATGGCCCGGGGCACGTGCCCTTACCTCTCAGAGCCTCTGTCCCCTCCCCTGCCCACCGAGGAGAATGTTCCCCTCGATGCTGCTAGAGGGACAAGACCCATCAGCCGTGAAGTGACAGAGTCCTGGGCTGAGCTGTGCTCGCACAGGGTCAATGTGAAGGGGGGCCGGGGGTGGGGGCGTCTGGAGTGCAGGGATCCCAGCCTCGGGCGCCAGGCAGAGCAGGTGTGCCTACGCTGGGGCCGGGATGCTCCAGGGCTGTGCTGTCCGGTGGCCAGGAGCCTCGTGCGGCTGTTTAAGCTCAGTTTTAAACGAATTACAATGGCACACAGTGAAACATTTGGGTCCTCAGCCACACCGGCCACATTTCAAGCTCTCAGCAGCCGCGTGTGGCCCGTGGCCACGGTACCGGACAGAGCAGACAGACGGCCTTCCCATTACCCAGGAAGTTCTACTGGGCAGCGCCGGCCAAGGCCGTGGTTCCAGGCGGCACCAGCTGAGCTGAGCTCGGTGGGCAGGAGCTGGGCACCTTTATCTTCAGGGCTGGGCCTCACCCTCACGGGCTGCGGCGGCTCCTCTCCGGCCGGCTCTGGGCAGAGCAGCTGGACCACCGCCCAGGGACGCGACTTCCCACGAACCTAGCTGAGGATCACCCCTCCTGCTGCAGAAGGTTCTGGCTCCTGGCTCCCCTACCCTGTCCCCCACACGGCTTCAGCAGCACCCCATCGTAACCATCAGAAACCATCACCCGTCTCCAGGTGCCCCAGTGGGGACAGACACCCTTGGGCTCCCCCAGGTGTCAAAGGCCGGCTTGATCTCGGCCCCCACCCGCCCGCCCTGTCGAGCGGACGGAGAAGCTGAGCCTGGGTTTCCTGGGCTCCCACCTTCCCCCGGCTCATCTGCAGCCAGAGCCAAGCTTCTGGTTACGGCACAGCCCCCGCTCCGTCCCCGGCACACGCGCCTGAGCCCAGGGGGCCGAGGCCCTTCCCAGACGCGCCGGAACCGTGGACAGCGGCCACGGGACTCGCACGGGACGTGGTCCTGTTTCCTCCCGTGTCCCGTCGCCCACACTTGACGCATCTCCCCAGGCCGGACGCCTCTGGCTTTGTGGCCGAGTCTGACAGGGACCTGGGGAGCCTTCGGTGGAAGATTCTAGACTAGAACCCAGGAGGTCTCACTCCGTGTTCCTGAGCTTCAGAGGGGCTGGGTCATGCGAGAACTCGATTTCAGCGGGGTCTAGAAGCTGTCCCCGAGCGCACCCGCTTGTCGACAGAGATCTGAGCCCAGGACGGACCCACAGCCGTGACGACTGCCCCCAGCCGGCCCCACTGTCCCCCGGTCCCGCTGGGCCTGGGTGTCGCTCCTTCGTCCGGCACTGGGGAGGCAACAGCGACGAAAACATGATGCCCTCGGGGGGTACCACTGCAGTGGGGGACGCGGTGTCAGCGAACAGGAAAGCTTAACACGTGACAGATGCTGGATGCACGACAGATGCTGGAGGGCCGAGTGGACCAGAGAGGTAGACGGGGTGCGAGGGGCGGCCCTCAACCCTGATGTTAGATAAAACCCCAATGCGAGAAGTGAGTGCCCTGGGGAAGTGGGGGAGGGCCCTCTGGCCGAAGGGGACCGCCGTGCAGAAGCCCGGGGCGGGGGGGAGCCTGAGGAGGCGAGGGGGCCGCGTGGCTGAGCAGAGCGGGGCAAGCAGGGGCGGGGGGAGGAAGGAGGAGCGTGGGTTGGGGGGCCGTGGGTGCAGAGGGGGGTCAGGCTCCGGGCAGTCGGGAGGGCGAGCCAGTGAGGTCCGCTGGCAAATTCCAGAATGTGAGAGCAGAGGAGGGACATCGTCACACTGCCCCCCACACCTGGACGCCCCGCCACGCGGCCAGCGGCCAGAGGCACCCCTTGCTGCCTCCCCCGGGCACACCCCTTGTCCCCCACCAGGAGACATTTGCTTCTGCCTGGGGACGGTGGCCCTCCGCTCCCTCCCCTGCCGGAAATCAAAGCTTTGCCTCGGGCTTGGACGCTGTCCCTTCCCCACCCGAGGCGAGTGCCTACTCTTCGGGGTGGGGGGAGGTGGTTATTTAGGGCCCCACGTGGCAGTTGCTAGGAGAGACGTGCAGCGCTGTGCTGGCTGGGACAGTGACCCCCAGGCCACCAAGCCCCGTCTCCTGGGCCAAGGGCAGGAAGGGCCCCGTGAGTCAGCTGGCACGCAGAGGGCAGCTCGTTAGCTCGCAGGGGGAGCCCTGGGCTCTAAGCCTTTAATTTGGGGGAGGTCGAAGAATATTTCGAGGGCGACAAAGCAGAGCTGGGGAGCCTCGGGTGGGGAGCGCTCGGGCTTTCCCGCAGTGGCGCGAGGCGCGGGAGCCGGCCATGCTCAGCCACACGGCCCCCTCGCCTCCTCAGGCTCCCCCCCGCCCCGGCCAAGGAGCAGGCAGGACATGGGGCAGGCCCCCCCCCCCCCCGCAGCCCCTACCCCCCCCGGGCGGGGCGGCGGCGGGCACTTTTTTTGGCACGTGCCACGCGCTGCTCCTCCCGCGGCCCCAGGAGGCCCCGTTCTCTCTCCGTCTCGCCCCTGGGCGGGGGGACCCCTGCTTGCAGGAGTGAGGGCCCTGCCAGGGTCCCCGGGCCCCCGCCTGGTGGGCCCTCTGGAAGCTCACTCTGGGGACCCCAGAGCCAGATGGCTCAGCCGCCCTCATCCCCAGGGGGGCCGTGCTAGGACGTCGCCGGCTGACCTTGGCTGAACCCTCTGGCCAGTCTGTGCACGTCCCACAGGCGAGGCTAAGCCCTGAGGCCACACCCAGGCTGGAGGGGGCAGGGAGGGTCCCAGCCAGGCAGAAGTCCCCCCTGGAGGTGCCCCCAAAACTAGGCAGAGAGGGAGCGCCAAAGGGCTGCGCCCCCCCACGCCCCACTGGCAGAGAAATGACCGAAGCCCGGGAGGCGCTGCCCGGGGCGTGGCGGGTCCAGCCCAGCCCGGGGCCTCGCACAGGACAGGGGTCCCCTTCGACATCGCTTACGTCTGCCCCTCACGCCTTTGCCAAACGCCTCCGTTGCCACCTTCATCAGCTGTGCTGGAGGGGGGTGCACCCTGTGCAGCTCTGCGCCTGTGAGGCCTCGGGCAGGCCAGGACCTGGGAGCCGCTTGGGCTTTCCACGGCCAGGGCCATTGGTCCCCATGGGGGAGACGGGCACCTCGTCCCCGCCAGCCCTGGTTCTTCCTGTCGACCACGTGGAGACCAGAGACCGAGTGCTGGCCTCACTCTGGTGCACCGCCTTGCTGGTGAGGGGTCTGAGACCCCCGTGGTCTCCGAGGCCCAGTGTGGACGCCCAGGCTGCCTGCTGGGGCTGACGGGCAGGAAGGAGCTAGTGGGAGAGCTGGGTAACGGGGGGCCTGTCTGCCTGCCCCCCGCAGGGTACCACCCTGCCCGAGCTCCCTGCCCGGAGCCTCTGAGCTCCAGGCTCTGCTGAGGGCACAGGGGACCCCTTTCTCCTGTCACGATGCCCAGTCGAGCTCAGCCCAGTGTGCCCAGCGTTCCTGGCACAGTGCTCATTTTCCCCAGAAAGCACCTTCAAAACCAGATCCGGCGACCAGTGTCTCTAGGTCAGGAGCCAGGAAGGGCTGACCTGGGGTCGCCAGCGGGACGAGCTTAGGGGGACGGTGATGCTGGGCAGGCCGGGACAGGGGGAGGCATGGGGCAGGGCACAGCCCGGACCTCCCTGCGGAATGAGGTGGCTGAGCGTGCGGTGAGCGTGCAAAGCGGCTCATGACGCCTCTCGTCACCCCTCGGGGAGGAGCAAACGCACACACAGGAGCAAAGCGCGTGAAAGTTTCTGTTTCTGAGAAAGGAGTCGATTGGAACCGGGGTCCGACCTCCCTGTCCTCGGGCCCCCTCCCTGGACAGGCTGTGGAGTGAACACGGGCTGCTCCAGGGGTCTGCGGCCAACCCTAAGAGCTCGCAGGCGCAGGCCAGGCCATCTGGGGAGCTGGCCGCCTGTCTCCTCCTCTCATCCCTTGGGGTCCCCTCGGCCCCCCGGGCCTCGGTGCAGGAACAGGTGTCTCTTCGCCTGAGGCCTGGGAAAGGCAGAGCCCCCCACCACCACGCGCGCCCCAGCCCGTGGCCTGGCGAGGGGCCGAAGGCCGTCTGAAACCAAGCGTCTTCCATGGCTTCGACTTCACTGGTCCACCCCTTCCAGCCCAGCCCAGAGTGGGCCGCGGGGCGCGTGGGCCTCCGAGAGCAATCAGGGCCTGCGCCCCAGTCATGGCATTGCCCCCCGCCTTCATCGTGGGAACCTCGTGCTCTGTCCCCTGAGCATCTGCCACCCTCTGCTTTCCGGACGCCAAGAACACCTGGACATGGGGTGGTACAGCTTTATTGGGGCTGCACAGTGGGCAACCAAACCCTGCCGGGGTGGAGGGGGAGCGGGGGAGGCAACGGGGGAGGGACCTGGGCACAGGGGCGTGGGCCAGATGCCCATCCCGGGCGGGGAGGCAGGGCACAGGGCAGATGAGCATTCTGAAGGCCCAGCCAAGGGGAGCAGGGCCTTCACCCCATTCAAGGCCTTGTGCGAGGTCCTCCCGCCGGAGGCCGGAAGCGGAGGGGACAAGGGCAGGAGCCGTGTCCTGATCACACGGCGAGGACGAAGGCCGCCCGGCGAGAGGGCTCCGCCGGATTCTCACCCAGACCGAGTCGGGGAAACAGGCAGGAGGTGGCATTTCTGCGGGGTGAGGGACGGCGCTGACCGGAGCCCGACCCCTGCGCGAGGCTCAGAGGTCGAGGCCGACCCCTCCCCTCCCACGCCCGGGAAACAGACCATCCTGCCGATCAGCCCTGATGGGGGCCAGGGCCCGTCTGGCACGCATGCCCCGTGCCTTCCACACTGTGCCCCAGGCAGACATCCCTCATCGACCCCACTGTGCCCCCGATTCCGGGGCACCTCCGACTCTCTACGCCCCGGACAGCCGGGGGAGCCTCTGTGCGCCTGCTTTTGTGCTGGGCTCGCTATGTTTACTAAGCACCTTGCAAGAGGCCTCTCGTGGTCCCCGAGCCCAAGAAGTTACGGGTCTGTGTTTTAAGGGGGTGGGCGCAGGACGGGCCCCCTGGGTCATCTGTCCATATCTGTTTGGGGGTCAGCAGGCCTGGACCGAGGGCAGGGAAGATTCGAGTTCGGCTGGGGTCCAGGTCCCAGGTCCCGGGGCAGCACGGGCCCTGTGGGGCCCGTGGTGGGGGCGGGCAGGTGTCTGGCCCCCTCGGCAGCTGAGGACCTGCTCCAGGGGCCCCATCAATAGATCCCTTTCACCCGCTTGTTGTCGGGATCGAAGGGAGACTTCAGATGAGCCTGGGCAGGGTAGGTCACCCCCATCCTCTCCAGGGCATAGTCCCCACTCTTCACGAAGTCCGGCGAGACCTGGGGGCGGGGGAGGGGGGGACGCGGTCACTCGCTACTTTCTAGTGGTGCTGTCACCGCCTGCTTCTCGGGAGGGGGTCTCGGCCTCACTAACTCCCCTGTGGGTAAACCCGTCACTGTGCCAAAGCCCCCCCCCAAACCTAGGAGCTACCTGGACAGGTAGGGCCCGGGTCCCTATGCCTTGGAGCTGGACTCGAGCGCCTGCGCCCCGCAGGCCAAGGTCTGGCTTTGACTGCGCCCAGGGCGGGGACCCCAGGGGTAGGGGAGGCTGTCGAGGGCTCCTCTCTGGGGGGCAGAGGACCCCTCTTTCCCGCAACTCGGGACCGACGCCGAGCGGCCGTCTGTGATGGCTCGTGCGGCCGGCGGGAGTCCGTCCTCACTGCAGATGAGGAAGGAGACCGAGGCCCAGAGAGAAGCCCTCGGCCAAGGTCACAGAGCCGGCCCCGGGCACAGCCCCAAGGCTGTCGCTGCCAAGCCCACATCTGAACCTCGCCACTCGCCGCAGGGCACAACCTTGCTGGAGGCCCCGGGCGGGAGCTGCGAGCCTCCCCCTGGGCCTGCGTGCCAGGCCCAGCATGTCGCCCGCCTGGGCTGGGCTGACTCACTCCTGCCCGCTCCCCGTCACTGCCCCTCAAGTGCCCCTCCCCGCTGTCAGGGGTGGGGTGGGCCCTGCAGCCCAGAGCTGTCCAGACTGTCAAGGGCTCAGGACGGAGAGCTCTGGAGCCGGGCCCAGCTGGGTGGCCTCGCAGCCCCCATTGCCATGGGCTCCCTGGGCATCGGTGTCTGAGCTGTCACGGGGCTGGCGTGGGACCCTCAAGAGGCCAGCAGGTGAAGCCATCAAGGCACTGGCAGTGACAGCAAGTCACACCACCCAGCTGTCCTGCACGAGCACGGAGACCCCTCCGGGGCTCGGAGTCCTGGAGGCCCTCTGTGGAGGGAGGCATCTGTGCTCCATGGGGGGTTATTGGGGTCTATAAATAGTTGTTTGGGCAAAATGTTTAGATTTTAGATCATGATGCCCTCCCGTCTCCTTGCCCAGCTCCCAGAATGTGCCCAAATGCACACGTGTCTTTATGAGCGTGCATGGTGCCAGCGTGTGTGTGCACGTGCAAGAGCAGGCCTGTGTGCACCTGTGCGCGTGCACACCTGTGTGTACACGTGTGTGTATGTGTGTGTGTGTGCGCCTGTGGGTGTACACACCTGCGTGCCCCCGTGCAGTGTGAGTGCATGCACACGTGTACCTGTGCGTGCACAACGCCATGCTACACGGGAGAGTGTGCGAGGCCGCGGCCTGGGCCCTGGGAGGGGTCTGCCCAGGTCCAGGTGGCTGGGACCCCCGTGCAGCCTCCAAGCGCTCAGGCAGCCTTGGTCCCTCTGGTCCTCAGCCCCCAGCGGCTAGGAGGGGACTGAGTTAGGAGGCAGGTGGCCAGGGTGGGATTTCCTCGGCCCGAAGCTAGAGCCAGACCCCATGGGGCATGCGGGGGTGGGGACAGTCCTGGGCAGCCGAGACTCTGGGAAGGTCACCGCCCATCTGGGCAGCCTGAGGCACGGAGCCCAGAGGAGCTGGTGCCACAGCCGGCCCAGTGGGGCGGCGAAGGCCGAGGGCGACGCAGCAGCAGGTCAGCGCGCCGGCTCCGAGCCCAGCTCCCGGGCAGGCCACCTCCAGCTGGGGACCTTCGGCCATGACCCAACCCGCACCCCCTGGTCCTCATCTAGCAGAAGCGACCACAGCACCAGGCCCGCCTGTGGTGGGGCGGCGGGGGAGGTGTGTCACTGTGGCCCCCGAACCTCTCCAGGCCTCCGTTCCCTCAGCCTCCACAGACGGGCGCTGACGCCGTGTGCCTGTGGACACGGTCAGCGTGCCAGGCAGGCAGCAGGGGCCTGCTGGCCAAGGAGGGCAGCCCGAGGCTGCAGCGACCGCTCCAGTCCCAGAGCTGGGGGCCGGGCGGAGGGCATCGCTGTGGGCTGGGGCCCGGGGCAGGGGACAACGTCCGCACTCAGACCCTCCGCCCATCGTCGCTCTCCCTCCCAGTGTGAGCTCTTGGCGGGGTCGGGGCAGGAGGGGGCATCTGGGTCCTGCCAGCTCCGCCCGCTCGAGGGCCCCCTGCCTGGGGCGCGTCTGGGCGAGGGAGGAAAGGAGGAACGTGGGCCTCGAGAGCACCCAAGTCCAGGCCCCCACCCACCCTGGAGTCTTCCCGGAGCACCCAGGGAGCAGAGGGTGCCCGCCTGGCCCAGAGCCCGTGCCTGACCAGGAGAAGCCTGGAGCTCGCAAAGTCGGGCTCTTTCAGGAAGAAAATACAGGAGCAGACGCCGACTGCGCCCAGAGACACGGCCCCCGGCCCGCATGCTCGGAGCCGGAGGGGCGAGGGCCCCCCTCGGCAGGGCTGGGCACGGGACTCACCAGCCCGCCGCTGGGGTCCCGGACGTAGCCGTAGGCGATGGGCTTGTCGATGGCGAACCCGAAGCCGGCCCTGCGGGTGTGGCCCACCACTCGGCCGTCCCTCCAGATGGCCTCCAGGCCGAAGACGGGCACTTTTCTGGAAGAAGCGACAGAGGGGGCTGGGACCCGAGTCCCCCGCCCTCCTTGAGGAAACACCTGCACCTCGGCCTGGCCAGGGAGAGACGGAAGCGGCCCACGCCCGCCGGCGACGGTGGCTCATGTCTCGTGAGCCCGGTGCCGGGTGGAAGAGGCCCGGACGGGTCTGGGGGCCCCCGGCACGTGACCTGGGGTGACGGCCTGGGCCCCACGTGCCCCATGGATGACGGCTAAAGTCAGTGCTGTCCTTCATGAGGGAACGGGCTCAGGAGGCCACTGCCTGGCCCACGGCCCAGAGCACAGTCACAGCAGTTCCCTGCGACCCCACCGCCCACATCCTAACGAGCGGAACTGCAGGCTGCAGCCCCCGCTCCGTCTGCGCCCCCGGCCACAGCCGAGCTGCGCTGGGTGGGGACAAGCAGTCACGCAGAGCCGGCCCGACGGGAACAAGGAGAAGCCACCGGACGCTGACAAGGCGCAGCTCGGTTCACTCTCTGCCTTTCCTTGAGGCCCTGTCACGCCTGACACTTCCCTTGAAAGCTCCAGAAATCTGGGAGAAGCGGCCCTGGCTGTCAGCTCCAGAGCCACGAAGCCAGAGCCACCGCCGTCCTGCAGACTGCTGTCGCTGATCGCGTCTGGCACCAGCACTGTCACTTCAGAGCGACCTGGCCCGCGTGGGATCCAGGCGCCCGGACCAGGGGCAGCGTGGGCCCGGACCCCAGGGGCCCGACTGAGCAGCATGCTAAAGCCGCCCCTCAGGGGAGCGCAAAGGGGGCCCCCCTACCCACGGCGTGGCCACCGTGAGTCTCCCTGTCCCTTGGTACCTGAGGTCTCGTCTCTGTAGGAGGGGACGCTGGCCCCCGCCGAGCCCCTCCCCCCAGCTCCCTGTCGAGGGAGGGGTTTAACTGGAACATTATGGGGGCAGCAGCAGGGTATGGGGGGCTGGCTCGGGCGGGGCTCACGCTCACCTCGCCCTCACCCCACGCTCGGCCTGCACCCCCACGCCCAGCACTGGCCTGGCAGAGTCCTTCTCTCTTCAAACCTGCACTGGGGTCGGGCCTGCCCTCGCCACGTCCCATGGGCCCTGCTGACCCCACCCTTCCGGAGGGGCTGAGGACCACCGGATACTCACTCATCCACGGTGAGGCACACCAGGCGCCGGCGGAGGCCCTGGGCCCGCTGCTTCTCCAGGGCCTCGCGCCCCAGGAACGGGGTGGCGGACTTGAGCTTGCAGGTGAAGGCCAAGCCTGCCTCCAGGGGGCTGTCGTCCGGCCGCAGGTCTGCGTGCCAGTGCCGGTAGCCTGTGTGGAGAGGGGCACCGTGGGCTCAGCGCCCCCTGGACCAGACGCCTCCCAGCCACGGGCTGGGGGTGCAGGGGGGTGGTTTGCACAGGCTGGCAGCACTCAGTCGTGGAAAGTAGGTGCTGAAGGCAAGCCCAGCCCTGGTCCCCGCCCCCCACTGCCGGGCAAGGCCCCCCTCCAAGTGCAGGGGGCGGAGGTCCAAGCACCACGCCAGGCCTGGCTCAGAGGCAGCGAGGGGTTTCAGGAAATGGACAGTGTCGGTGGCAGGGGGAAGGGTGGGGGGACAGGAAGGGTGACAGGGGACAGACGTGAGGCCGTCACTCCTTTGTCCCCAGCGTGGCTCTGGGCCACCCACCAGCGCCGTCCGGACCCTGTGCCCACCTTTCTCGATGCTCAGGTTGTCGATGGCCCGGTAGCCCGCGGGGACCAGGCCGTGCTTGGCTCCCGCTGCCATCACGGCCTGGTACACGGGCACGCAGGACAGCCTCGGAATGTGCAGCTCCCAGCCCAGCTCCCCCACGAAGGACAGCCTCATGGCCCGGACCTGGGGGGGACACACGGGCCGGGGTCAGACGACCGAAGTCGAGGGCCAGCTGCCACCCACCGGTGGACCGCGCCTGCTGGCACCATCGTTACCGTCATTATTAGCCAGTCCCGGGCCCCTGCAGCGGGGTCTCCCAAGGAGAGTTCCCAGGAGCGCTCGGGACATCTTTAAGGGGAGAAGGGGTGAGGACGGTGCAAGCAGGAGAAAGTGGACGCACGGTCCCCAGGCCTCGGCTCCTCTGAGCGACGGGGTGACTCTCCTGGGGCCGCCATGGCCGGTGGCACAAACGGGGTGGCAGACACGGGCTCCCTTCCAGTGCTGGAGCCCCCCCCCGAGGCTCCAGGGGACTCCCTCCCTGCCCCTCCCACTTCCGGGGGCCCGAGCACGCCGGGGCTGGTGGCCGCGTCACCCCAGTCTCTGCGTCCATGTCACAGGCCTCCCCACCCCACATCTGTCTTCTCTTTCATCCCTTATCAAAGCACCTGTCACTGGATTTAGGACGCGCTCTAATCCTGGATGACCTCATCCCGAGACCTCGACCTTACACCTGCAAAGACCCTATTTCCAGATAACGCCAGGGCCGCAGGTTCCAGACGTCTCTCTGGGAGGCCGCCGTTTGATCACTGAGCGTGGGCCGCTCGGCCCCTGTACCCCCACTTCCTTGTCTGTGGTGAGGCAGGAGCCCTGGCCGCGTCTGCTCTGAGGAGCTCCGAGGTTCGTCCGTGAAGGAGCTGACGGGGCGGCAGCCGCAGCGTGAGCATCATCAGGGCCGCACTCGGCGGGTCCGGGGGCGCTGAGAGGGACACAGCTGAGCGCCGACCACCCCCGCCCCCAGCCTGGTCAGCCTAGGCCAGAAGGGACACATGGCCTCTGTGTCCCCAGGACTCAAGTCTTAGAAGGACTCAGGCAGTAGCACAGGCCGGTTCAGGGGCAACCGCGCTCAGTGTGGGCACAGCGCCGGGAGAGACAGGCCTGCCCAGAGGGTCGGATGCACTGGAAGGTGGGGAGAGTTTGCCGCTGCCGACGGGCCTTCCAGGAGGAGCAGGTGCAAAGGCTCGGAGCTGGGCGGGCATGCAGTGGGGACAGGAGACAAAGGCCATCGGGTGGAGCTGGCGGGGCCTCGCCCTCCGCCTTCGGACATTTGACTTGGCAAGCCTAGCGTGAGAGCTGGGTCCTGGAGGCCAGGCACGGGACGGTGAGCCCCCAAGCCCCACAGAAATGGCAGGGCCATCCACGGGGCCCCTCACACACAGCACGTCATCGAGCCCCTTCTCGGCTCTGCGTGACGAGGGCCACCGTAAACAATGTCCAAGGATGACGCAGAAACGGAGGCTGGCCCGAGCACACCCAGCCCCCGTGGGGACAGCTGGTCTCTGGGCGTGTGTGTCTCGCACCCCCGTGTACCAGGCAAGCAGCTGCGTGAGTCAGCGTGGGGCGACTCCCCATCCAGCAGCATGTGACCTTCCCGGCACGGTTGGTTTGGCTGCATGTCATTTACACAGGCCTTCAGGCCCACGCTTGAATTCACAGTGTGCTTACGGGTCAGGCCTGGGCGCTCGGTCCCGGGGCTGCCCACGGAAGGGATGTCGAGAGCACAGCCAGGCGCAGAGCGCGCAGAGGGGGCCGAGCCAGGCACAGCTCCCACGGACGACATCTGCCCAGGGCTCAAGGCCACCCTGCTCCTTATTAACCTGACCATGGACCCAGCTCCTTATAAACCCGACGCTTTAGTCACGCTGCTGCCCAAGGCCGGATTCCGAAAGCCTTTGAAACATCGCACATTTGCTGCGAGCTGCCATTTGCCCGGGCCTCTCGAAAAACTCAAAACTGACACAGAAAATGTACTGTTGACATTCCGCGGCTTGCCCGGTGCCAGCCGTAGGCCCTGACAAAGATCACCTTGTCAACGGGCCTGCCGAGGAGCTCAGGGAGAGATGAGCTCACGGTTACCGGCCCCAGGACTGAGGCTTCGGGTCAGACGCGCAGGTCCCCAGCTGAGGGAGAGGGTCGGGCGCGCGGGCTGAAGCGACGCCTCCTGAGCGGAGGAGGGACACGGGAGCAGGCGGACCTCTGCTTCCCGGCAGCGCGAGGGGTGCGTTCGGGGAATTTCTCAGTTCACGGAACCACTGGTTCCTGAGCCGTCTGGCACTGGAGAGGGGGAGTCCTCTCCGAATGAGGGGAAAGGCCGAGCGTGACGATGTCTGGAACGTGGGCTCTGGGTCGGCCAGACTTGGGTGGGGACGGCGGCACCGGAACCTCTCGGCCACCCCCACGGTCAGCTTCCCCCACCTCAGCGCCTCGTCTCATAAGTGGGGTGAGGCCAGTCCTTTGAGCACCAGCTTCATGGGAAGTACGAGGCCTGGTACACATCCATCTGCCGGCAAGTGTAGGCCCGAGTGGACTTGAAAAGCGAGCCCCAAGCTAATCCCCTTGCAAAACAGAGCCCTGCATGCTTATGGAAGGCGCCGGAAGTGGGCGGAGCCACGGGGAGGACCTAAACCCGGTTTTGTTCAAACCCTTTTGTCTCCATACGGACTCCCCCAAATACTGTTGGAACTCGTAAGCATTCCAGCAAGGCTGCAGGATAGAAAATCGACACGCAGAAATCAGTCGCAGTTCTATACCCATAACGAATCCTCCGAAAAGGAAATTAGAAGAAAAAAAAAAAAATCCCATGTACGAGAGCGTCAAAAAGGATAAAACGCGTAGGAATAAACCGAACCGTGGGAGCGAAAGATTCGCACGCGGAAAGAAACGTCGGCGAAGAAAACGAAGGAGGCCGACACGCTGACGCCCGAGGCCCCTGGACGCGAAGACGCAGCGGCCTCCTCGGTGCCGTCCACGGATTTGGTGCGACCCCTAGAAAAATCCTACTCCCGTGTTTTTTTGAAGAAATAGAAAAACTCATGCTAAGATTCATGGAGAATCTCAAGGGACCTCCCGTGCCAAAACGGTCTTGAGAAAGAACAATCCTGGAGGACTCACGCTTCATGATTTTAAATTTCCTGCAAAGCGACCATAATCGAACCAGTGTGGTACTGGCATAAAGTCAGACGGAAAAAACGAACGGAATAGAAAAGAGAGTCCAGAAATAAACTCTCGTGTCTACGGCCAAGGGACCTTCAACAAGGGTGCCAAGACCGCACAACAGAGAAAGGGTGAATGGTGTTGGAAAGCTGAAGAATGAAGGGGGACCCTTATCCTACACCACATACGATGGATCGAAGACCTAAATGAACAAAACTCCTAGAAGAAAACAGAGGAGAAAAGCTCTCTGACATTGGACTTGGCGGTGATTCCTTACCTATGACACCAAAGACATAGACGACAAAAGCGAAAATATTCTAACGAGACGACATCAAATGTAAAAGCCGTGTATCGAAGCGTACGATAAACGGTGAAGGGTAACCCGCAGAAGGGGAGAAAATATTTATAAATAATATTTATAAATCGTATCTCCAAAATGGGCTCGATACCCAGAATACATAAAGAACTTCTGCCACTCAACAAATAATTGGGTTAAGAAACGAGTAAATGACTCGAATAGACATTTCCTCCAAGATAATATACGAATGGCCGACAAGCATATGGAAAGATGCTCAATATCACTAATCGTGAGAGAAACGCAAATCAAAACCCCAGCGAGATGTGACCGCATCCCAATTAGGATGGTTACTATCAAAAAAACAACAACAGAAAATAATCGGTGTTGGCAAGGATACGGAGAAACTGGAACCCTCGGGCACAGCGGGCGGAACTATAACATGGTGCGTCCGGAAAACAGAAAACACGACCGAATGTCCAGCATTCTACTTCTGGAACTATATCCACAAGAATTGAAGAAAGATTGCGAGCTGATACTCGCACACCCGTGTTCACAGCAGCATTCTCCACAGGGCAGGAGCAACCCGAGTGTCCATCAACAGATGACGGACAAAGCGTAACATTAAACACACGACGGAATATTATTCGGCCAGTAAAAAGGAAGAGAATCCTGACCCTCGCTACCTCATGGATGAACCTCGGGGACCTTATGCCGAGTGAAATACTCCAGCCACAAAAAGACACATTGTGTATGATTCCGCTTATCCGAGGTACCTGAAGTAGGCAAATTCATAAAACTGGAAAGTAGAACGATGGTGACCAGGAGCCGAGGGGACGAAAGAGTTGTTTAATGAATACAGAGTTTCCGTTTTGCAGGATGAAAAATTTGCGGAGATCAGTTGCCCAAGGAGGTGAGTGTGCTCAACACTGCTGAGCCATACGCTTAAAATGGTCAGGATAGTAAAAACAAAACGAAACACCCTTTTCTCCACCGAGGGCGCCTACGGCCCTGAGGGACGAGTGATTTGTGCTTGCTTGACGTTCCCGTGCCCGGAGCGAGGGCGGGAGGAGGTGGACTCAGACGCGGACCGTGCACAGGGCCCTCCACTCACCCACCGAATATTTTTTGGGTGGGAGGGCATTTGCTCGGGTTTCAGTGAAACGCGGATTCGGGGGGCTTGATTCCACGCCTGGAGCATCACTGAACTTCCTGCCAGCTTTCCCTCGAGATGACTCGAGTCCAAGGAGGTGCTGGGTCCCCGCCTCAGTTCGATCAAAGGCCATGCGGGCGCCCGGGGCAGGGAGGCCACGTTGCTCCAGTGGGTGCTCTGGACACGTGCGTCATGGGAACTCGCCTGAAGCGTGCCTTTCTGGGTGAACACCGCAGAGGGGGCACAGCAGATGCGCCCACAGACACAGGCCAGCATGTCATCACATTAGCTCTTGGTGGTTTTACAAGTTTCCGAGGCGTTTGGTTGTGTAACAGCATCCCCGACACACCGGGCACATCCACCAAACCCGGTGAGCCCTTCAATGAGTGAGGATCTCAGGGGCCCTGGAGGCCAGAGATGGGCAGCCATCAGAGCACGTGCACCCTGCACCCCGAAAGCAAGGGAGAGGGGAGAGGCAAAAGCTGGTGGTACGTTCAGGGGATCTTCATTTTATTAACCCCTCTGAAGCCTCTGAGAACATTCTGGGTTCTAAGAATGTTCTGCTCTGGTGCGCTGGGGAGAGGGTGGGGGGAGGTCATCTCTCCCAGTGATTTAGTCCCAGAGGGTAATGTGTGTTGGTGGTGATGGTGGTGATGGTGATGGCGATGATGATGATGGTGGTGATGGACGGGTTGGTGAGTGAAAATCAATTTTCCAAGAATAAAGATGCCCAAACGACCCTTCACAAACCTGACTCTCTGAGGGTCTAAAAGGCCGTGCAGAAACTTTACAACCCTCCAGGCCCTGGGGAATGCTGGGTCGGCCACCGACCGTCCCCTCGCCGCCCCTCAGAGGAACTCGCACCCCCTCGGCTGAGTTTTTCAGCTGCCCATGAGAGTTATGGGCGCCCCCTCCGGGGACCCTGTCTGCAGAGAAAGCGCCGGTTCTGCCCTGGAAGAAACAGCAGAGTCTCTGAGGCGCACGCCCGAGGGTCCCTCAGCGCCACCAACCTCCCTCCGGCCACGCCCTGTCCCTGCGCTCACGACAAGAAGACGTCACTGCCCGCCCCGGACACCTTGAAGGTGGCCGCAGGTTCCTCGGCGAGCCCATGGGCCCTGCTCCCGCCCCCGCCTGGCTCCCAGGACCACGACGAGTCTGCGCTCATGGTGCAAAGTGACCTTTTAGGCAGCGGCCAAATGCCGACTGGCAAACGCAGTGTCCTGAGGGTGGGACCTCTGGCCCCTGGGCCTCTGGCTGCAGGATGTGTGCGAGGTGGAGGTCGCTCCACCCTGAGCCAGTCAAGTCCACAGAGGGGACTTCACACCGTCAGGAAAAGAACTTCAATTTTCTTTTGACCCAGAATTAATTTTCGGAAGAAATTTGCTTTATCGCCACGTCTTACGCTGAGCTTCCAGCCGAGAGGCTGCAGCTTTCTAGAGGGGATCCCACCTCACCCCCCGTCCTCGCCGAGGCGCCGGGGACACCGTGTCTGCCCCGGCGACCACACCAGGACAGCGTTTCCCACCGGGAACCTCGCTGGCCTTGAGGCCAACACGTAGGAGGCAGGGACATCTGGTCAGTTGGCTGCCGAAGGGACAGCTCCCCCCGCCCCCTGTTCTTCCTCCAGGAATGCGAGGATCATGGAAGCCTGGGGCTGAGCCAAGCGTCTCAGGGAATCGTTGCAAAACAAGGACACCGCTCGGCTGGGGACATCACTCAGCTGGGGACAGCGCCCGTCCGTTTGCTGTGAGCGTGGGTCCCAGAGGACAGCGCCAGGGACCTGCCCGCCCGCCCCTGGGCCCGGGCTGCGGTTCTGGGCTCGGGCCCTCACCGTGCCGTGCACTGGGATGGGAGGCCTTGCCGGCTGCAGGGATGCACATCTGGTTGGCCGGAGCCCAGCGATGTCCCATAAATGCTTGGCCGGGCCCCGCTCCGCCCCGGTGTGTCCTCACGCTGAGGGCTGTGGCGTCAACACAGGCTACAGCCAAGACGAGATCTGACTTAGGAGAAGGTGGAACCCCCTGGACCCGGGAGGATGCGGGAAGTCTGCACAGACTCATGGGAGGGCCCGGAGGGGACACTAGACGCTGTCCAGCCTTGGTGCTGCGGACGGGGAAACAGGCCCGGGCGGCCGGGGCAGGACGCGAAGCCAGGCCTGCCGGCTCCCAGCTCTGTGACTCTGCCCTCGGGGTCCGTGCCGACCCGGCTCCCACCTCGACACGTCAGTGACCCCGCGGGACCGGCCGCTCAGCCCTGCTGACGTTAAATCTGTGTCCTGCTGAGGAGCGAGGCGGCATTCCCCTGGCCCTCAGCGCTGGCCGTCACTGTCCCCTTCAGGGAAGCTTGGAATGAGCTTCTGGCCGAGCAGGGTGAAGGCGGGGAGGTGACACGTCTGCCGGCCCAGGACACCTGCTCCTCTGGCGTTGCCATGGGGCCAGGAGGCAGTGGGACGGGGACCCCTGGGAGGAGGGGCGGAGTGCCGGATGAGGCAGTGGGGCCAGCTGCTTTGGGGCCCTGGCCTGCCGACTGGCCCTGTGCGGGCAGTTCTCGGGCAGGGCCCCCTCGTGGCATGCTTAGTTCCCGTGCCACCCGGCCTCTCTCCCATCTGTCTCTCTCACACCTTCTGCCAAGATTGACTGTCCCTCCTGCAAACACGTCCCTGGGACCGTCCTCCTCTGCAGGTCGGCCCCATGGGACGTGGCCAGGGCCAGGCCCGGGCCTCTCTCCAGCCAGGCCGGGCTGTGACATCAGGTTCCTTCCTGACCCCCGGCCTCAGCTGCGCGTGAGCTCGTGGCGGGCGGGGCCGCGCCCTCCATCCTGGAAAACACCAACCGGGCGGGAGCCCACTGCGGAATGACCCGGAGGGCCAGCCCGTGCCCCCGGGGCCCTCCGTCTCTGGGTCCTGGTTCTGCGGTGTCTGCCTTAGGTCACTAAGCAGACTCCTGGGAGGAGCACCAGCAGGGACACGCAGCCCCTCCGAGGACGAGAAGCGGCCCATCCCCACGTCCACATCCGAGCCGGGTGCCGCTTACGGAGCTGAGAGGGGATGACGTGCCACTCAGTGGTCCTCGGAGAACATTTAGAAGGACGAGGAACCGGCTACGCCCCGCGGGAACGGAGCCACGCGCACAGATCCCGCGTCTGCTTTAAAGTTCACGGGCGGATTAGGGGAGGGGCCCCCGCCTTTCTCTCCGGGCAGAGTTAGGGGCTGGTTCACTTGTCCTCACTTTACGGAGGCGCCGAGACTCGCGGCGAAACGCCGTCGCCACTTCGGCCAGCCTGGCAAGCGAGCTCTGCGCTGCCATCTCCCGGAATCTGCCAGCGCCAGGCGGAGAGACGGACGGCTCGGAGAGGTCAAGGGTCGCAGCCGGAGGGGTCGTGCCAGAGTGCGGTCGAGGTCGTGCCGGGGCCGAGCAGTGACAGGCGGGAATCGTGATGCACGCCCGTTTGCACGGCAATGAAACGCTTTTCGACAGAACCAGTGAACGGTGCTGGAGGCGGCGGCGAGGGAGAGCCCCCACGTCCAGCCCCACTCTCCCGACCCGGGTCCCCCAGGTCTGCCGCCTGTCACCCCGAGGAGAGATGCGCCCCGATGTCTGGCCTCTGTGCCTCCAGCCCGGCTCCTGGCCCAAGGAGCAGCCGGCCAGCCACGGGCCAGGCCTGGGGAGATGGCCAGGGCCGGGCCGGCCGGGCTGGGCAGGAGGCGGCTGGGCCCGCTGTCGGAGAACACGTTCCAGGTGCCTCGCTGGAGTGGCCTGGCCTAGAGGGGAAGTGTTCCCACCTGGTCCCCTCCCCACGAGCCCCCAGCCACGCATAGGCTGAGTGGACGCCAGCCTCCTCCTTCACAAGCCAGAGCCCGGCCCCAGACAAGGCCGGACGCTGCACGGACCCCCGGGGGCCAAAGGGGCCCGCGCTGCAGTCGGGGCCAGCTGGACGCCGCCACCGCGACCTGGGGTCGAGCTGTGCTGCTCGCTCTCGCAAAGCACCCACCCTCTCTGGTCCCAGCACGCAGCTCTGCACCAAGGAGGCAGGAAGCAAGCTAGACAGAGACCCCCCCCAGCTTCCTGCCCCCCCAGCACGGCCTCCGGAGACCGCTCCACTCTGCAGAGCTGCCTCCCTGGCAGGCTCCTCGCCGATGTCATCGCAATGCTGTTTATTTGCTAACAGGACCCAGACTCCTCGGACCTCCAGACCCTCTGCGGGCCAGGATGGCTTCCCACCAACGCTCCCTCGCCCTGAGCCCCCGGACGCACACGCAGGAGCAGACGAGGCCCGCCCGCCCGGCTACAGCGCGTCTGCTCATGACACGTGTCCGTGTGCTTTCGTGTTCCATGGCTGGGGGGCCCCGGGCGGCCCACCCAACCTCCCTGAGCTCCGTCCGGGGAAACAGCTGTCCCCCCAGGTCACGTGGACCTGGCCGCGACCGCTGCCGGCAGAGCCGCCACCCCACTAATCACGCAGCGGGGGCTCTCCAGGGCGCCTCTGCCCTCCGTGGACACTCGCTCGCGTCTGGACTGTGTTGGTTGTCACATCTGGGGGTGCTCCGGGCATCAGGGATGCTGCTCAACAGCCCGCAACACCCGGGGAGGCCCCCGAACACAGAATGTCTGTTCCCAAGTGCCAGAGTGCCGGGGCTGGGCAGCCCCGTGAGGGGACCTCCCACACCGCGTGAGGGCTGGCGGGCAGGGACGGTACACGGGCGCACCGTGCTGGGGTGCCCGGTGCCCAGAGAGCCCGTGGCCACGGCGGTTGAGGCTACTTTTACCGTCTGCTCCTCCCCTCGGCCTCGGGGGTCCGAGTGTGATCACAGTGTTTAATGTCCTGTGAGGACACCGAGGCCCAGGAGAGGGACGTGCTGACCCAGAGCTGACCCGGATCCCGGCCCCAGGGTCTCTGAGGACCCCGGGCCCGACGGAGCCCTGACGCCCCCCACCGTCTCAGAAGCTTCTGGCCCCGGGACCTGGACTTTCTGGGTGCTCCTTGGGGACTGGCGGTGCCCCCCAGGGGCCCCTCCTCCTCCCACACCCCAAACGCCAGGTGGGCGGGGGTGGGAGCACAGAACCAGAGGCCAAGTGTCACCCCACAGGACACGGAGACCTACTGGAGCAGCATAATTGCTCAGCTGTCCCCAGCCCTGTCATTTTCAAGGAGGCAGAGGAAATAATGTGTCACCGTGACTTGAGGGGGAGGGTGCCCTGTGCCTCTGAGGGGGGGGACACCGTGGGCGGCTGTGCACGTGGTGAGGCTGAGGCTGCGTTCCTGGCAGAATCTTGGCCTGAGCCCCCCGTGTGCCAGGCACCGGGCGGAGCCCGGGGAGGCCCAGCTTGGGTCGGCAGCCCTGATGGCCGTGGGCAGGACTACCTGGTCCCCACCCTCAGTGGGGACAGCGGTCCAGGGAGGTAAATGGACTTGCCCAAGGGCACGGAGGCCCCCGAGTCAGAGCCCCAGGCTTGTACCCTTGTAGCACACGGCTGCCACCCACAACGCAGGGACGGCTGGCACTTACCAGGTGGCCGGCGGCTGTCACCAGCTTGTGGGTGGAGAAAGGGAAGGCCTCGTTGCTCAGATCCGCATCGAGCACCTCCTGGAGAATGGCTCGGCTAGGAGCAAAAAGAGTCAATCGGACAGTCAGTCGACACACACTCGCCAAGCCCTCCTGGCTGTGTGCCCTGGAAAGGCACTGGGGACGTGGCAGTGAGCAGGACAGGTCCCTGTCCCCGTGGGGCAGACACGGTGCTCAGGCAAGCACACACCAAGACGAGCACGCACCAAACGCACAGTCAGAGAAGGAAGTCGTGGGGCGGACGCGGCAGACACGCCCCACCGTGCCCCTTCCGCAGACGGACCGGCGGCTGCCTGCCCAGCTCAGACCTGCTCCACAGGGGGCCCAGCCCGCACCCCCCACACTTCCTGGGCATCTTGAACCCCCGCCTCCCTCTGCATCCCCACCCACCTCCCCGACCCTGTTAATCCTCAGTCGTCCTTCGGGGCTTGGCTCCCATGTCACCTCCTGCAGGAAGCCCTCCCTGACTCCCAGAGTCTGGGCCAGGCGTCCCCCGCCAAGGTGCTCCCACTGGGTTGCACCTGCAGTGACCTGGAGCTCCAAGCCAACAGAGCCCCCATTCTGCTGTGCCCGCCCCAGAGAGGGCACTCGGTAAACCGAGAACAGCCTGGCTTTGCCCTGCAGGGCAAGCGCCCCATCGGCAGGAGACGGCCCCCACTTCTGTCCCGCAGGGGTCCCCAAGGGTGCTGGGGCTGCAGGGTGGCCACCCCCACGGTGCCGGGAGCTGCCCGCCCACCCAGCCGGAGGTGCTCAGTGAGCTGCCGTCCCCCGAGATCCTTACATGACCCCTTCCCCCCCGGAGCCCACGTGGTGCCAGCCCCCGAGAATCCGGACCGTGTCCTCACCGGGCACGTCCTGTCTGCAGCCACAAGGACAGCTGGACATGGGCTCTCCAGTGTCTTCTCCACAGGGCTTGAAGGGCCCGACAGAGCCAGGGGAACCCCAGCTCCGGGCGCCAATCCAGCCACATCGAGTGGGCCAGGACGGAAAGGCATGAGCGGGCTACTGAGCCCGGTCTGGGGACCAGGGGGCTGTCCCACCCCGAGGGTGCCAACGTGTGGTGCCGGGGGCCAGGGCTCCGGGCCAGAGTCCCAGGTTCGAGTCCCAGCTCCTACACTCACCCCCTCCCAGCCTCAGTAACCCCGCCGGCTCCACGGGGTCAGCGATGCCGCCTCTCAGGGCCCTGTGGGGAACGAGCCGGAAAACACGTGCCAGGCACCTCGAGGCCGATCGTGACACCAGCGACATCCACTTCCCTGCCACGGCCGCCAGCCACGCGGGGCCACTTGGGTTGAATTTGATGAAAATTGAAAATTCAGGCATGGCAGCCACACTTCAAGGGCTCAGTGGCCACGTACGGGCCTGCCCAATCATGGAATGTTTCCAGAACTTTCTAGCAAGAAGCTTCCCACATAACTCGGGGAGTTTAGCCCCGATCGGTGCTGGTGGGAACATTATTATTCATACAGGAAACTTTGGGTTATTTCTGAGAGAGAGAGGACACTCTGGAGGAGAAAAGTAAGAAATCGTCAGGGGGAGGACCGTGGCAGCCGTCACCGTGTCACCCGCGTCACCGTGTCACCCGCGTCACCCGCGTCCGCCTGGAGCAGCTTATAATGAGGAAGGATGGCCTGTCCCCCGGGGCGTCCCTTGATCCGTCTGTCTGGCACCCTTCCCTCCCCTGCCCCCCGCCTCCCCCACACTAAAAATAGTCATTCCTGGCCAAGATTGCTGTGGCACTGAAGCCCCAGGCTTCCGAGGGCCAGGCCTCCAGCTCAGGGGCCCGGACCCCGACTGCATTCACCCCATTCACCCCCGAGGAGCGCAGGGCAGGCTCACCCAGGCGGAGGTGGAACCCGCCCCTCAGCATCGGGGCCTCCTGAGCGGACGTTGGGCCAGCGAGGCCCCGAGCGACCACGGGGACCCAGCGTGTCACTCCCTCTTCGAACGCCCTGCTTCCCCCGCCCCGGAGGCCTCCTACAGCCCAGCGTGGGAGACCCCGTTCAGGCCCAAGTTCACCGTGTCCTTCCTCTGCTCAGGCCCCTCGCCCGGGAGAGCCGGCTCTGATCTGCAGGCCGTCACCTCCAGGGTCCTCTGACCACGCCGCCCCCTCGGGCCCTGTTCCTCCCACCTCCCTGCTGTTCCTGGGACAGGCAGGCACCCCCTGCCTCAGGGACTCCCCAGCTGCTGTCCCCACTGCCTGGAACGCTGTCCCTCCAGAGAGCTCCAAGGCTAGGTCCCCCGTCTCCTCCAGGGCTTTGCCCGAATGTCCCGTTTATAGACGTGGCTCTCCGCAGGCAGCGTGAAGTCCAACACTTGGTTCTACTCATTCATCCAGCGAACACTACTGTGCGTCTGTCCCGTGCCCCTGAGCGGGCCCACGCGCAGCCACAGCTCAGCCCGGGAAGGGAGGTCGGCCCGTCCACGACACAGCTCTGGAGCGGCTGGTGTGGCCAGCTCCGAGGCTCCAGGGAAAATGTGCCCCGGGGCTGGGTCTGAGCCCCCGGACTCGGATCCTGGCAGGACCCGGGAACAGTGATGTCTCCTGGGCACAGCGTGCTTCGTCAAAGCACCGCACCCGGCCTGGGGACGACGTGGCTGGAGACGCGCCTGCCTTTCCTCCCTCTTCCTCCCGCTGACGCTGGGCAGGCTTCGTGTCCCCTTTCAGAGCACGCTCTCCTTCCCCCTTCCGCCCCGCCCCGGCCTGACAGACCCAGCACCCGAGCGAGCCTCCTGCCGTCGGCCGTGCCTGGGCTCTGTGGCCAGCGAGGGAGCGTCCACTCCAGGCGCCTCGTCTCCCACAGGGCCTGCAGCTCCTCGGGAAAGGTGATGACTCAGGCGTGTGGCCTTTGGAGGGCTCAAGGGGCCATATCCCCGCCAGCCTGGGCGCTTACGAGCTGTGTGACCCCGGGCCAAGGCCTCTACCTCTCTGTGCCTCTGTTTCTTCAGCGATAAGAATAAGTACAATTGCAACCACCTCAGAGGGTTCTCATCAGAATTGGAGATGCTGGCACAGGACTTGGCAAATCACAGGCACCCATTGGTGGCTGTCAACACGATGTGCTTCCCCCCTTGCTCCCCATCCCCTGGTCCCTTCTCCGGAGGGATCTTCCCAAAGGGCACTTGGAGATGCTGGCACAGGACTTGGCAAATCACAGGTACCCATTGGTGGCTGTCAAAACGATGTGCTCCCCATCCCCCGGTCCCTTCTCCAGAGGGATCTTCCCAAAGGGCATACCTGCCCAGGTGCCCCTTTGCCTAAGACCCTCCCGTGGCTCCTCTGCAAACCGGCACCTCAGGGCCTTCTGGGCTGTGGTTCCTCGTGGATGGGAACATGGCTCAGTAGATACTTACGGAATGAACGAACGAGTGAATGAGCCACCCACAGACCTCGTCATCGGAGGTGTTTAGGGAGCTGTTTAGGGAGGTGTTTAGGGAGGGGCAGGATGCCATTCTCAGCCCCGGGAGCAGGCGGAACCCCAGCCTGGCTCCGCACACGAAATTCCCAGACTCCCAGCGACCCAGAGGCGGCCCACGGGCCCTGGCTCCTCAGATGCTGGCTCACTGTACGGTTTCGTCTGATTCTCATGCTAAGGGTTTTTCTGCACGTTTTTAGTGCTTTGAAAATGACCGACCCGGCACGGCGCCTCTGGGTTCACCAGCTCGTTTAGCTAACCAGAACGTCCCATTGTGGGCCAGCAAGTAGTTCTGCCCACGGGTCCCAGGTGGAGGGACTAGGGACCGGGTCCCGGGTGCGCCCGGGTGCGTGGCTTCCCGCCGTCCCCTCACCTGGCTGGGCCCTGGATGCTGATCAAGCCCAGGGCCTCGGAGCTGTCGATGAGCTGGCACCGGAACCTCCGGTCCTGCAGCACGGCGAGGATGTAGGACGAGTTGTGCTGGGCCGTGGCGCCGCCCACGGCCAGGTAGTAGCCGTCCCCTGGAAGAGAAGCACCAGACGTGGAGCCGGGGGCTGGACGGGGCGCGGGGCAGTGAGGGTGGCCTGTGGCCTCGGGGCTGAGAAAGCAAATGCCACTCCTTGACAGGGAAGGAGCAGAGCGCAGTGAGACCCTCCCCAGGGGCCCTGGGTTCTCAGGCGCACAGGGCCAAACTCGGACCCTCCCCGGGGGCGGGGACCGGGCTGCGGGACCCCCTGAGGGCCGCACGTGCCAAGGCAGCATTTCCCGGGAGAGTCTGAGGCTTTTGCCGCTTTTCCAAAGGCTCCCGACCCAGGAAAGGGCAGGAGCTGAGACACCGTCGCGCCACCAGAGGTTCGTGGGCCACCTCGGCCGGTGCCGGGAGGCCCCGGACAAGCCTCTGTGCCCTCCCAGCCTCAGGCCTCGCCTGCTCCCGACTCAGGCCACCGTCCCGCGTCCCCCAGCCTCTGGGCTCCCCACCTCGCCCGTGTCAGGCTTGCTGGGGCGGGCGCTAGCGGACCTGGCCTGCGCTGGGCAGCCGCCTCTCACCAAAAAGCCCAAAGAGAGCATCGGAGGGCGGAGCCTCCAGGGGCTCCGGGCGCCGCTGGGCGCCGTGCGATGTGGACGTCATCTCATGCCCCCCCGTGTCACCGGATGGTCGCTACGGGCACATAGTGACATCTTCTGTGACACGAAAGGTGATTAAAATCCCATTTCAGATTGACAGTTGCTTTGTACACAGCCTGGATCGAGTGCGAATCGCCGCGTCCTCTTGGCTTAGTGGCGATCCGAGTGACAGGTGCGATTAACGTGTATGAAACACGTGCGGTTAACGACGTGCCTCTTAGGAGCAGGAGCCGTACAGCTTTCAAGGCGGAAGACAGAACCACGTCTGCGCCCTGTTCTCCGTGTTTAGGGGGGTCCCCGGGACCTTCGGCGCACTCGGCAGAGCCTCCCGGGACGTGACTCAGGCGTCACTGTGCCTTCTTGGTCACGGCGCTCGCCCGGGCAGGTCAGGAGCCCGCCACGCACGCACCTCCCCGCCGGGCAGCTGTTTGATTTGACTCGGAGGCCCCGGCATCTAGGAAAAACACCTCTCGAATCAATTAGCACCTTCCGCTCACGCTCAGCTCCAGAGCCTGGACTCCCCACCTGCCCCCACCCCGCCTGGGCGAGGCCGAGGCCCCTCGAACCCTGGGGCCAAGAATCCACCAGAACCATCCAGAAGGGCAGGGCATGGTGCAACCGTGGGCTGGCTCAGGTACGAAGTGCTTTCGGGACGACGTCCCCTTGCGAGGGGGGACGAGCAAGGTCCCCATCCCCAGGATGGGGAAACGGAGGCTCAGGGAGGTGCCCCAGCCCCCCGTGCTCATTCACCACAGACGCACAAGGAGGCCATTTTGTCTCCACTTCACAGATGGGGAAACCGAGGCTCAGAGGGGGGGCCACGGAGCCGGGAGCTGGCCCAGGATTTGGGGACCTGCATCCCCACTGGGTCTCTCTGATCGGTCTCCCCGGCTAGACTCGCTGTCTGAGGTGGCGACCTCAGCTGGGCCCGGGCCTCCCCTTCCCGGGGGACGAAGGCCGAACAAAGTTCCCACCAGCCCCTGTCCAGACACCTCTTGGACCTCCGCCCAGCCCCTGCCAGGCGCCTGCCAGGCCCCGCCCTGCACACGGGCTGGCTCGTCTCCCTGCGCCTTTCCAGCTGGCGGCTCCTACCCGTCCTTCCAAGCTCGAGGCCAGACATCACCTCCTCCAGGAAGCCTTCCTGGTCCTGGCCCAGCTGCTCGCCAGGGCCTCCCGTGCCCCTCGGCCCCTGCCATCCCCTGCACTTGCTCCCAGCACCCTCCAGTCTCCCCCTGCGTCTGTCTGTCACACAGCCCGCCGTGAGGTCCCAGAGGCCCTGCCGGCCGCCGTGGCAAAGGCTCCACAAGGTGACAAGGGACTAACGTGGAAAACGACTCCACCCACTAACAAGGCGCACGTGCTCCAGCTAAGCCCACCACTTACCCGGCGTCCACCCCTCCCACGGCAGGGGGACAGGGCCCCCAGGCTCTGCACCCCCAGAACCCTCTGCCAGCAGCCTCCAGCTGGCCATGGCTACTCTCATGACAGTGATTTCAGCAGCCGGCCCAGAGGCCCTCAGCCCCAAACCGACCCCAAAGGACCCGTGGGCGGTGACACGAACTTGTCCCACCACCCCTGTCCCCACCAGAAGTATAAACTTCGCACGGCCAGAACCTGCCCGTCTGGTTCATTGTCGTGTCTCAGTGCCCGACACTGGCCTGACACAGGGGCACGTAGGGACTTCGGCTGACGTGGACAGGTGACCTGATTAACGAGTGAGCCCCTCTTTCTGGCTCCATCCCCCGTCCAGTGCCCAGGCCAGAGCTTGTCCCCTGGGGACCTGACTGAGTCCCAGGGAGGACACAGCTAAGTTTCCAGCAGCACAGAGCCAGGCCCAGAGCTGGGGCCGCCATGTTTTCTGAATAGGCTGACGGTGACCCTTCCCCTGGACGGCACAGTTCAGCGGTGCAGAGAGCTACAGGTGACACCTTTTCCCTCTGCTAATCCAGTCTCTCAGGGGCGACGATGGGTCCATTCCTGGAGAAAGGCAATGCTTCTCACTCTCTGCGCATCTCAGGCAGCCTTCTTCCCCAGGGGAGGGTTACGGGGCTAGAGATTAGACTCCCCCTGTATGAAGCAAGGGTAGGATCGGGGGGTTGAGGTGACAGGAGACAATCTGGTTCAGGATAGCTGTCAGGACAGTGAGGAGTGGGCACTGAGCTCCTGGGCGCCAGGGCCATGCAAGCAGGAGCGGACGGACTGCAGGGGGCCAGCCGGATACCGGCGCGGGCCCCGGGCCGAGCGTCTGCCCGGCTGAGGCGGGCAGTACGTGCGAGCTCAGAAAGCCGACTCGGCTCAGACGTCGGCAGGAGGGGCGGCCTCCTGCTGCCGGAAACGCAACCTTGTCCTTGGCCCTCTCTGTTCTGGGCGGGAGAGCGGAGCACACCTACATGGCGGCCGCTCCAAAACGCCACGGCGTGGGCAGGTTCAAAGACAGAGCCACTGAGAACTCCGAGCCCCGGCCTCGCCGCCCGAACGAAGCCCGCGTTCAGCCTAGAACGAGCCCCCTGGTCCCCGGGCCCGGCCGCAGCGGGCACCAGGCGATCACAGAGCGGGGCTCCGCCGCCCGTCCCTGTCCCTCCCCAGCAGACGCCTCCGGTCCAGGGCAGCGCTCACCTTCGAAGGCGGGGGTCAGCGGGGAGGCCTGGGGACTGGGGGCCAGGCGGCTGACGGTCAGGTCGCTTTCCGTGCCTCCCCGGTGGTTCAGCATGCAGGTGTACACTGTCGACCCTGGGGCAGGAGGAAGACGGGTCTGTGCTGGCCCCATGGCACGTGAGCCGCCTGGAAAGCCCCTCATCCTAGAGATGCCACCGCGACCGAGGGACGTGGCAGGGCGTGGGCAGGTGACCCAGCACCGCCCCCCCGGGGGGACGGAAGCTTCTTTCTTCTTCGACTCTCCCCACCCCCACCCACCCGCCACCAAAGCTTTCAGGGGCGGGATTCACACCCCGTTCAGCCCGGGGCTCCCGGCGCCACGCCCCGCCTGGCAGAGCTCCGCGAACGCCCGCCGACCGAAGGAGCGTGTGGTGGACGCCGGGCGGGTGGACGAAGGGCTGGGGCAGGCACGGAGGAGAAGTGGACAGAGGGCAGGGTGGCGGGCAGGCGGAAGGGCGCACGGACAGAGGGGGGCTGGACGGATGGAGAAGCAGGTGGAAAAAGGAGGGGCTGCTGGGCAGGCGGACGGGCGGGGGGCGCTGGACCCCGTGGGAAGGTTCACGGAGGTGAGCAGGAGGTGCTCGTGTCAGTGGGTAGGTTGGCTGACTGGGCGGATGGTGTTAGGGGTTGAACTGTGCCCCCCCCCAAAGGTGTGTTGAGCCTTGACCCCCAGTATCTGTGAATGTGGCCTTATTTGGGAACAGGGTCTCTGTAGACATAGTCACGTTAGGATGAGGTCCTCGGGCTGGGCCCCGATTGCCTACGCCTGGTGTCCCTGTGAGAAGAGGGAGCTGTGGGGAGGGCGCCGTGTGACCCCGGAGGCGGGCACTAGTGTGACACGGAGGAGAGGGGCGGAAGCCCGCTCCCCGGAGTGTCGGGAGCGCCGTGGCCCCAGCTGGACTCTGCTTTTGGACTTTTAGCCTCCAGGACTGTAAGACGATCACTCCGGTTGCTTACAGCCACCCCAGGGAACGGGGACAGATGGGGCTGGGTGCGTTTCGGGGGCTGGATGGGCGGGTGACATGATGGGTGGGTGGGCAGTAAAGAGATGAATATCCCAGGTGTGGCATGGGACATACTTATACTAAAAAGAGTTTCCATTCTTTATCTGAAATTCAAATTTAACTGAGCATCCCGGCCTTTTTTGAATTCTGGAAACGCTATTTGGGAAGAGGGCTCCCGTGCAGTGCCTGGGGTTGGAGCGGGGCTCCCCAGTCCCAGGGGACGTTTACTGAGGGCCTGGTGCCCCGAGTGCTTTCTGGAACAAAGCTGAAGGGAAGAAAGGGAGGGAGATGGAAGGGCGGAGGTCGTGCAGCCCCCGGGCCCAGGCTTGGGGGCGAGGGCAGAGGCATCCGGACCCAGGGGCCCAGGGCCAGACTGAGGGGCAGAGCCACGTGCTGGAGGAGCCCAGAGGGGCCAGGTCAGCTCGCCACCGTGTGTCAGTGCCCGAGGCCGTGCTGTGGAGTTCTGCCTGGCACGGAGCACGGGGGGAGCATGGCCCAGCCCAAGTCTCATACCTGGGGGGCGGCTGACGTCGGCAGAGAACAGCCAGTCGGCGGCCTTCCTCGCATCCAAGCCCACCAGGTAGAACTTGCCGAAGTAGGACATGTCAAACACGGCGGCAGCGCCTCTGCAGGCCAGGCACTCCTGCTTGATCTGAAAGGTTCCGGGGGGGTGGGTACCACGGCGGCTCAGAGGCGCGCCTCCCTGCCACCGCGGGCACTGGGGCTCTGAGCCCGCCCGCTCTGAGCCTCCCTCCCGCCCCTCCAGCTCGGAAGTGCCATGACATTCTTCTCAAGCACAGGGAACGTCCCCAAGGTGGATTCTAAGTCATAAAACAAAACTCGATACATTCAAAACGATTCAAGTCATACAGAATGTGCTACGTGACCACGATGGAATTAAATTAGGAACCTAGCAAAACTGGAAAATTCACAGATCGATACAATTAAACGACACACTCCTAACGGATCAGAAAAATCACACGGAGAATGGAAAAACGCCGATCTTAGAGAAGACGCTCTCAAAGCAGTAACTTAACTTCCCGCCCTGAGAAACTCGAAGAAGAAACAAAACCCAAAGCAAGTGGAAGAAAAGAAATACTAAACGTTAGGAAGGAAATCAGTAAAATAGAGAATAGAAAAAGAAGAGAGAAAATCAGCAACAGCGAAGTTGGTGAACGGTTAGTTAGACCAACACGGAAAAAGGAGAGAAGACGGAGCATGAGCAAAAGAGAGGTCACTGCCGTTCACCCCCAGAAATAAACAAGGCCAGAAGGAAAACGGCGGGCAGCTGTCTGCCGACAAGTTAGACGCAAAATGGACAAATTCCTGGAAAGACAAATTGCTGAAACGGACTGATGAAGACAGGAAATCTGAAGAGATTCATAACGAACAAACAGACAAACAAAACGATCGAACTAGCCATTTGAAACTCCCCACGGAGAAAAGCCCAGGCCCAGACGGCGTCACTGGTGCATTTTACCGAACATTCAGAGAATTCATGCCAATTCTTCGCGCCTCCCCACTCATTCCACGGGGCCAGCGTTACCCCTGGTGTCCATGGCAGACAAAGGCATGAGAAGAAAGCCACGGACCAGTAGACCTCATGAGTGTAAATACACACACCCTCGACAAAAACCAAATTCGACAACGCGTTAAAAGGGTCACGCGCCACCGTCGGGTGGGATCTGCCCCTGGAACGAGAGGTTGCTTGGTTAACATCCCAAAGTCAATGCCGTAATGCACCATATTACTAAGAACAAAGGAGGAAACCATACGGTCTCCACAATAGATGCAGGAAACGTGTTTGAAAAAAAAAATCAACACCTGTTCGCGATAAAAACGCCAAGTCAGCTAGGAACGAAAGGGAAGTCCCTCAACCCGATGAAGGGCGTGCACGAAAATCCCACAGCTGGCACCATGCTTCCCGGCGAAAGACCGAACGTCACCCCTAAGCTCCAGAGCGAGACAGCGCTGTCCGCTCTGCTACCTTCTACTCGGCATGTACTGGATCTTGGCCAGGGACATTAGCAAGGAGGAGACAGACATCTAGATGGGAGAAGAAATAAAACCACCTCTATTTGCAGATGATGTGACCCTGCACATAGAAAACCCTAAAAACCCACTGAAAACCCTATTAGAACTAAAGAAAATGGTTCACCAAAGTTACAGGATACGAGGTCGATATACAACAGACAAATAAACACTATCGTAAGTCTATACACCGGTAATGAACGAAACGAATAAAATTAAGAAAATAATTCCATTCACACACCAAAAAGAATTTTTAAATGCCTATGAGTAAATTTAACAATAGAAGTGTAAAACTCATACTCTAGAAGCGAGAAAATATTTTTGAAAGAAATTAAAGAAGACCTAAATAAACGAAAAGACACCCCACGTTTACGGAACGCAGACTCACGATTAAGGTGACAGCACTCTCCAGATTGATCTACAGATTCAACACACTCTCTATCAAAATCTCAGGCAGTTTCTTGGCAGAAATTGGCAAGATGATCCTAAAATTCATATGGAAATGCAGGGGGGTCAGAATACTCAAATCAATCATTAAAATGAAGAATAAAGATGGAGGACTCACGTTTCCCGATATCAAACTTACTACAGAACGACCGTAATCCAGACTGTGGGGTATAACCTCAGGGTCGACACAGAGTAGAACTCGGGGTCCAGAAGTCGACCTGCACATTTACGACCTTCGACGGGAGTACCAAGGCCAATCCATGGGGGAAAGGCCAGCCGCCCCGGGGCACCGGGGCACCCCCATGCCAAAGAATGAGCCAGACCCCTTCCTCACACCACACACGAAACTTAATCGAAACGCATCGAACGCCAAAGGACAAGAGCTACACCTGCAAAGCTCTTAGAAGAGCATCGAGGAGAAAATCTCTGTGGCCTCGGGCGGGGAAGCGCCCTCTTAAACACAGTGCCGAAAGAACCGGGGACGAAAAAAAAACACGTCGGCATACGTCGTGGAAACCGAGAACGTCCGAGCTGCCGCCGACGCCATCAAGGAAGCGAAGGACGACCGCAGAACGGGGGAAATATTTCCAAACCACAAATCCGATAAGGGACTCGCACCCGGAATCCACGAAGAACTCTCGTAACCCAACAAAAAGACAAATAACCCAATGTGAAAACGAGCCAAGTATTTGCATAGACGTTTCTCCAACG